CCCCAAAACCCCAAAACCCCAAAACCCCATGGATTACAATTTTGGTATAGTTGTAATGAAATCAAGTTTAATAATTGAAACGAATAAGGCATTTCTATAGTAATTATTCTTCATTTTTTAGTCGTTTCCTATTTGCTAAAAAGTTTCTTGCATTAATCATCAGTCAATCCTTTAGTTTCTTTCAAGACAAGCAAACAGAATATGAAGCCAATAAATGTGAGCACTGTTAATCCTGCAAAGCATCCTGTTATTCCAATTTTCTCATTCATAATAAGGAATGGTGTAACAATAGTAGTGAATAAGCTCCATAACCACATAGACAGCGTTCCAAAACTCATTCCAGCGTCAGAGCAAATATCTGTGATGTATATATAGGGAATAGGGCCAGCTCCAAGTTGATAGAATACTAGATATAGTATAATCATTAGCAGCATAATCTAATTAATAAATAATGAAAACTCTAAATATTCTTACACCAGCTAGTTGATTATAGTTGCCATAAACGATAAAGATATGACAGATAAACATCACCCCAAAACTAGTGCTAAGAAGTAATTTTCTACCGCACCCTATAATTAGCATATAATTGAGTAAGATAATTACTGTTGATGATTATCATTGGAATAATAGCTCCAATGAAATTGAAAACACCCACGAGCCAAGTCCCGAATTTGGGATCCATTCCACTTTATTCAAAGATTTTAGAGGAGTACAAATTCACACAATTGATACCACTAAGCTAGTTGAAGAATTGCAAAACTAAAGTTGTTATAAATATATTAAAGCTTACAGAATCCAACCCAGGCTGATTTGCAATCAACCCCGAAAATTGCATCCGCGAATGATTACTAACCCTAAATATGATTTAATAATACCTATATATAATTACTCCGCCAGTCTAACTCTTATTGTTATCTTTAATAGCTTGAATTATATTAGGAACGTCTTCTTCATAGTAAATTCTTCTCAAAATCTATCTAGCTTCATCATCTTTATTTTTCTGAACAATTGAGAAAATAGGTGTCTCGTATTTGAAAAACAAAAGCAAAAGCACTGATTGTAATACAGCAATTATTATTGGAATGAAAAAAACTAATCTCCAATACTATGAGTTCAATTTATCTTCGTGAGTTTCAGGAGTGCCAAAGCCTAGAGTAAATACAAGGATGATGCCTGTAAATATTTGAAGCTAGGTCAGGCCTCCTAATGGGCCTCTCATACTTACTGGTGATGTTTCATATACTACAATTATTATTGGATTGATTTTCTTACTAAACTTAGGTACAATAACAGTTGAAAAGCCGCAAGCTGCAATTCCTTAGATAAATCTGCCTATAGCTATTAATGTCACACTCTCAAATAAAGTCTATCAAAGTATTGGAGTTAAGGAAAAGTTAAACTTACAAGAATAGTTGAGATAATAATTATAACATTAGAGATATGAATGGCTTGATATCTTCCTCTTGCAATCTAATTTAATTCAAATCTAACATCATTACCAGAGATTTGCCAATCAATGCCCCAAAGAACCCGCCTAATGGTATCATTGTACTTAGCAAAGAAATATAAAACGATTAGTTGTCCTCAGTCCAACCGAATTTAACAATCAACGTATCAATAAGTGGATTAATGACTCCGATTGTATATCCTTTAATGTCTAGTTATTCAATTAGATAACATACCAAACTGTGACACTAGCAATGTAACGACTATAATGTACGGTATAATGAAGCCTTTCTTAACTCTAACAGACTCTAGGTTGAATTTCTCAGTCTCTAGCTGATTAGTCAAGAACTATTTAGTTTCTATGTTATCAAGCATTTTGAAATAATTAATTTAATATCGATTAGCAAAATCCTATTAATTAAAGCAACTATTTTAAAACCTCGGGGTTTTGGGGTTTTGGGGTTTTGGGG